GCCGAGCCGGTTATATTTATAATCAAACCGAACCGACCGATATTCACCCCTAGTAATTACATAGTATAGTATTTACAATGCCTTGCTTGTTTTCCAGAACGTAATTACAGTATAATTGTCACTGTCATGTTTGGTTGGACAAGTGTAATTATATAGTTAAATAAACTTTTTTCAGTTTAACCTATCGAAATATATTAAATAATATGTTAAATAATTATAAATCAACAAATAATATCTTTAAAATGGAAAAAATCTTCCAAATAAATAATATTATTACTTAGATTAACAATGACGACTTAATTTTTACTAACTCATTAATGTGTGATACATACATACATATATAAGAAATGCTAGATATTATTCATAATTAATCAGGTATTTAACTATATTTTAAAAAAATAAAAGTATTAACTAAGTATAAGTTAGTAACTAATATCGAAAAGAATTATCAGTATCTTGACTATCTTTTAAATAAATAATATATTAACTTAAAAATAATTAATAAAGTTTCAATTTGACTATAAAACTATTACCAACTCATATGAGTAAAATATGAAATTTATGATTTGTTATACTAACCTCCGTTTCAATTTATGTGAACCCATTTGATTGGGCACGGAGTTTAAGAAAAGAGAGAAGACTTTTGAACTTGTGGTGTAAAATGAGGCACATATATTTTGTGTGGCTATAAATCATTGCATAAAGGTAAATTATTTCCAAATAAGGAAAGAGGTCATTCTTTTTGGCACAGACTAAAAAGGAAATAGGTTCACATAAATTGAAACGGATGGAGTACTTTTTAAATAACAAAAAGATAAATATGAGTTTAAAAGATATTAATTCTTAATAATTATTGTATACTACTCACTCCGGTCCACTTTAATTAATTTTTTATTATTTTCACATATACTAAAGAATCCAAGTTTTAGCATTAATTAACAATGAAATGACCGTATTAGTCTTGATTTGTTCATTAGAAACATAACAAATTCTCCTAGGCTCTTTACTCTAAGGTTAACTTTAATTAGAAAAAAGAAGTTAATTCCTTCTTGATATCTGAAAAGATCAAACATTATAGACCACAAAAAAAACTAAAAAATCAATTAAAATGGACCGGAGGGAGTAATGAATAGAAAACAAAGCTATCAAAATACGAAATTGTATTTATCAACTAAGAAAAACAAAGAAAATAGAAAAAGAAGAAGCACAATATGAGAAGTTGCAAAATTACATGGAAGCACACCATAACCAACACGTTGGAAGGTTAAAAAATGAGAAAAGAGAAATGGAAAAAAATATTGTAAAAAGAATAGTACTTGACATATTTGAAAAAAGGAAAAAAAAAATTAGAAAAGTTAGATTACCTTGTAATTACACAATGTAATTACCACCAATTTTCACCTCGCCCCTGAGAATTGGAGAGTATAATTACATCCTCTCAATTACACCAAATTCTATGCTGACCAAATAATTATTTGGCTAGATACATGCCAAAATGTATAATTATACTCAATTACACCCAAATCTAATTCCTCGATGCAGTGGCGGATGCAGTGTAGTATCACCGGGTTCAACTGAACTCATAACGTTTGATTCGGAGTAAAAATTTATGTGTAAAAATTCATTAAAATTATAAAAATAGTAGATATGAACTCATAATTTTACAAATATAATGGGTTCAATGCTAAAATTTTTAAAGTTAAACCCATAAGATTTAAATCTTGAATCTGTTTCTGTGCTTTACAAACAAGCTCCCAAGGAATATATAACTGTGGATCAAGTTCCTAATACATTATGAGAGAGTCAAGCCAGTCAGGCGATTTTATTGCGCCATAGTCGTACAGATTTGGATTTTTCGTGTATCAAGTTATACCAGTCTAAAAATAGACAACTTATCCCACTGCCTTTAAAATGAGTGTACGTGACGTGTATGCAATTTTTTGATATTTTATAAGTTAGGTTCTGCATAAACAAGTAGATCTTTATTTGCTTTACGATCTGTTGATGACCTTCAAAGAAAGAGATACATCCGACTAGCACAGCTACACAACAATTGTTCCTATCAAATGTTAAACAGATTGAGGAAGATCACCTCATATTTTTATGTTATTTGGAATTTGACCTTTGGCATCCTACGATTTTCATCGCACTTCTTCAACTACCTTGAGTGCATTATGATGTATTTTCCCAGCACAAGATTGCAAAACAATTTGCAATCGACAGCGTACAGACTAACAGTTACCACTACATACCATCTGACAACACGATGGCAAACAATGGTCACTATTATTAAAGCTATATGTGCAGTCATTGCGCAGATAGAATTGGAGGACACTTTAAAGCAACTCAGAGAAACAAGTACTCCCACCGTTCCATTTAGTTTGACTCGGCAAGCAATTTAAGAAAGAAAAAAAAGCTTAAAGGGGTAAAAATTTTGTGAGGCCATGACATTTGTGTGGTAATAAAAGCTTCTCATTAAGGGTAAAATAAAGAGTTTAAAATTGAATTATTTTCAAATTTAGAAATGTGTCATTTATTTTGGAACAGATTAAAAAGAAAAGTACCCCATCTAATTTGAAACGGGGGAAGTATAACATAAAACACCATCCTTAGGCCGGCACAACAAATCTAGTGACCAAATACCACAAAATCTTCAACAAATCTGTGTATATGCATACCATGACATATTCATTTTTCTCTACACATGCAGAAAATTGAAACATCACAAAAGCACCAATGAAGGGAAAACCGCTTTGTAATCTACTGATCTTCGCTCTAACAATCTATCAGACATACTTCCCAACTAGCTCAATTCCATTTTATATAAAAACAGGGCCAAAAATAATCCTATCCCAAATCAGTCCTTAAACTTTTGCACCACCACAGAATTCCTAACTCATTCAGGATCCTCAACTATTGGATGATAATTCATAACTGTGCTTCCTTTCCTTCATATGTGAGAATAGCAAGCATGGCTCATCAAGCAGAGAGCATATCAATTTTATAAGGCACAACAATCCATCCATACAAGTTGGGGCATCAGATAATTTCAACTAAAGACCCAAAAAAGAAATGGTAATGAGCCCTGCAAATTCCTAGTCAAACCAAAAAGGAAAAAGAGACTTCGAATTTATTTGTGCACTTGCATGCTTTAAAAAGCCTTTTAATTCCAAATATACAGCTGCCACCAGAATCTTCATCATCTTTTTCTAAAGTTCTAGCTTAAAGAAGATAAGCACTCTATCAATAACAAAGACTGAAAGACATGAACCAGTGAACAATCTACAAAGTCCAGAGCCCATTTCCTTTACTAAAGGAGGAAGCAACTTACAGGTTCCTCTTCATTCTAGCAAAAAATCAGAGTAATACCAGTCTTTTCTTCCTCATATGAAGGTTGCTTTGGTTAAACTCTCTTCTAAATACACTTCAATACTTCAATAAGTTTTCTGGCACGAATTTTACAATCTTCTACTTTCTGTAGTTTGTACGAAACTCTGAGGCAGTTTTACTTATTGGATCTAACCTATATGATAGTTTTAATGTTTTAGGACTGTGTACAAGTGTTCAGCAGGAAGCTGGTCTATTTCTTAGTTAGCTATCAATCCTTCTGGCATTCAACAAGTCTTAAGAGTTCAAATGCAGTTGTTGCCTCTAATTACTTGGAATTCGGCAAAGGAAGAATTTTCAGATGACTACGAGATTCTAGAAGCCCTTCCCCTTTGCTTCTAATTTTGTGAAATTCTAGGCCTCCAAATCTGCAGTTCAATCTTACCCCTTTAATTCACGATTCACAGCATTATTGCTAAGAAACATAGCAGCCCCTAAATTCAGAATCACTTTAAACATTTTGCTCATACTTGATAAATTAGAGCATATATCTATATATAGCAAGTCTGAATTTCAGTGCTTCGACTAATGGAATGGTTTTGTTATAACTAATGAGGCATTCCTCAGCTTTCCGGCGAAAGTTATCCAAGGCTTTATTTCACCTAACTCTACAGGACAATGCTCAGTTATGGGTTCAATTGAACCCGCATCTACCACATTGCATCCGCCCCTATATGCAGCAGAGAACTTGCCCTGCTAATAAATTAATAATTCATTCTTTAGACATGCTTAAGTTTTGTCTCCTCCTCCAAGGGGAGTGTTAATAAGGAGGATGTCAGATCTTGGCAGGTGGACTAGGACTCAAAAACGAACTCGTGACCGTCCTTAAAAAGTAATTTAAAAAGAAGGGAAGTAAATGGGTCCTCAGGACCATTATTTGGTCTCCTATTCACATTCCAACTTCTTGTAAGCATGTTCATGCATCATAAACCTTCTGCACTCTCTATGACTATAACACAAAATAGCCATGTTATGTTTTCAAAATAACGTCTTGACTTTTGAACCCACAGATATTCTATCTTACATAAACCAGCTTCATATTTACAAGTACCGGATATGGGTACAAGCGTTATTTTTTTTTTCCCTTTGCCAAGTTTTATTCTATTTTTGAAAATCTCATGAAATAACCAGACCAGTGTCTTACTTTTTGATATAGATATGTCAAAGCAAATGAAAGATCTATGTTACCTAGTTTATCAAAAGAGAAAAGAAAGATCTATGAAACCTAGCACAAAAGAGTTAATACTCATGCTCATAAAATGTGAAACTAGCAAGCTACTGAGCTTTGTTAAGTATTAGAGATTGACTACGAGATCCACTTAATGGTTCTATTTATGCTGACAAAGCAAACGAGGAGAACAAAGATCTTAGGTTTCATTGGAATTGGTCCCCTTCAACTCTTTACATGGTTCAGGAGAATAGAAATATACGTGAAGCAGTGATCCCATACTAAACACTGTTTTAAAAGAAAACAACACAAAAGGCGACAAGGGCCACGAGGCTTGAAGCAAAAAGCGAGAAGAAAACAAACGCTTCTCTGAAGTAAAGCGCACAATTTACGGAAAATCAGAAAACATACATGAATTTAGTACCGCAATAACAAAACTGCCAAATTAAATAACACGATGGATGTATAAAAACAGAGTAATTCCAAGACCAACTTTAAAACACATTTTCTCTAAGTAACTTTATGTTTAATCAAAGAAAAGCTACCAAAAATCCTAAGCATAAGACATATGAAGTCTCAAATGGGATTAAGAAAATCTCAAAAAAGGATTACAAAGAAGAAATTAATGAACAAGCACCTGCCAAATTAAACATTACTAAGCAGACATAGCTCTCATCTTTTTCAGTCGCTTCATGGCAGGGGAGATAGTCCTCAGTATCTTGCGGCCTTTCTTTTTCTGTTTCATCTTCCTTGTGCATTGTGGCATCTCTCTTATGGGACCGGGCGGCACCCCCTTTTTCAAAGCACTACCTCGGGGAGTAAGAGTTGGTGGCAACCGTAAGCTTTGTGGAGGCATTGGACTGTTTGGTTTCCATACCAGGTTGTTCTTCATAGAAAACCTAACCTTCTTTGCACTTTTCTCTGCACTCTTTGTAGCATCATGAACTTCACCATTTATGACAGGGATACAAGACTCTGCTACCTGAGTGTTTTTTCCCCTCTTTCTCTTCTTTCTCACAGAAATTGTAGGTGAGTGAAATGAATTATCATCATCGTTGTCATCATCATCTAAACCAACCTCAGCAGCAACCTTTTCAAACTGCATTTGAAGATTTGAAATCACATCTTCATTAAAAGTCACTTTGTTCTCAATGTCCGGCTCAGAATTGGAACTATCACCAGTAGCAGTAATCATATTCTCCTCTTTGTAGCCGCTAGAGCTTTTTTCCACAATAGAGGAATTATCTGAAAGCCCACTTTTTTTCTTTTTCTTCTTCCCCCTTTTACTACCACTCTCGAGCTCATTAGACCCATTTTCCTCAACCAAAGTGCCATTCTCAGAAACCTTTTTCTTCTTTTCTTTCTTCTTCGCCTTTTTACCGCTTCCATCCTCTGCTCTCTTCACCTTCTTGCAGTTCCTTAATGTCTCATCACCAGATTCTTCCTCATTCTCATCCTTAGCCACTTCGGAATCACACGTTTCACCACGCAAACCATTCTCAATTGGTATTAATTGAGGCACGTCTTCTCCATCATCAACAACCTCATCGACGTCAGGCAGACTAATTTCAATCCCTAAAGCTTCAAACTCCTTCTCCAACCTCAAGAACTCCTCGTGCAACTTCAAAGCCACCTTCCTATTACCCTGAACACAATCCACAAACGAACCTACTTCAAAAAGCTTCCCCGAAAACCCCATTTTCAACGCAATAACCCCAAATGCCACATCACCGTAGCTCTCACCCCCCTCCTCCACACCTTCCTTTCTCCTCTCCAACAACTTCCTCCCCATCTTCAACAACTCCTCAAAAACACAACTTTTCACTTTCCCAACCATAATTTTATCCTCAGACTTCCCCATCACATTCAAAAAGGGCTTAAACAAACAACCAACCACATCATTATGAATCGGGACACAACACCCTTTTAGCTCATCAAGAAAAACAGAAGCAATATGATAATTAACCCCGTGACCCAACAACTTATCCGTCGCCAAAAACGCATTATTCTCCAAAACCTCAACACACTTCCCCATAACCTCCAAATCCCACTTACATTTCTTCATCAACTCAAACACTGAGCCAACAAACTTCCTAATAAGTAAGTAAAACTTGTCCAATCTTAAATGGTCAATACCATTCCATTCGCGACGAAGGGTAATCAAGAAAGCAGAAAAATAATGCAAGCAAATACCTAAATCAAGATTTTTTACCAGAGAGCAGATGCGGTCGATGAGCAGAGCTTGAGCAGGGGCTTTATCGGAGTGCCAAAGGCAGTAGAAAAGGCCCTTCCAAAGCTTCTTCATATCATCATCGGCGAGCTGAGTTGTTTGAGTTACGAGCCATGTTTGGAGATGTGCGAAGGCTTTTGACCTTATGGAAGCGTTGCATGAAGCTAAATGCTTTATTAAAGAAGTGCCTTGTGTTGCGTCAAGAAGGGCTGTTTGGGGTTTGATTTTGGATTCTCTGAGCCTCTTCTTGCTCATTGTTTAAGGTCTGGAGAAGAAGTGAAGCTTTCGTTACGTTCTTGGAGGGGAGTCGGAGGAAGGGTTTTGGGGGAAAAAGAGAAGGATTATAGTCGTATGCTCCAATATAAAAACCTAGGGCTAAATTTGGGAGGAAATAATTGTCTTTTACTTTCGTCCCTTTTCCTTTTTTTTCTCTGGATTGGAAAAGGCAGCTAAAGAAGAAGAGGGCTTTCTCGACCTAATTTTGCAACTTCAAAAGGGTTTAAAAGTAAATATATAATTATTATTATTACAAATTACTAAAACTCTCTTTGTTTCAATTTAAAGACACATTTTCCTAATTTTGCAACTTCAAAAGGGCTTCCTTCGATTTTATTTAGTTTTAAAAGTAAAATATAAGTATTATTATTACTAATTAATAATATGCTCTCTGTTTCAATTTAAATGACACACTTTCCTTATTAATCTATTCCAAAAAGAATGACACATTTTTATATTTGAAAATAATTTAACTTTAAACTTTTTATTTTACCTATTTTACCCTTAATAAGAAACCATGGTCACACAAAGCTTTTGCCCATTAAGTTTTTAGGATCACATATTTCAAAAAAAAAAAAATTCTTCTTAAACTTTGTGTCAAGTCAAACTATATCATTTAAATTAAAATGAAGGAATAATAATAATAAACTATTTTATTTTTGACTTTCTACGAAATTTTCTTATTATATTTTATTTTTATGGTTGGGTGATAAGAAGAATGAGACTTGTTGGTGTCTAGGTGGTACTCTCGAGTAAAAAGAAATATAATTATGTTGAAAGGTCTAAGAGCCAAATTATTCTTAACTAGAGGTATCGAGTTCGAGTCATGAGAATGAAGTCACCTTTGGTAGGGAACACTTTACCCCTTAAAGTAGGGCTTTCCCGCATGAATCTAAATTAGTCGAGTCCCAAATTGAATATGAGAGATCGATTGGAAAACTAAAAAAGAAAAAGTGAAATCATGATTTCAAAAATATTTTCATTTGTCTTAGAACGACATTTGATATTGGGAACTTTGACTGATGCAAGACGGAAATATACTTTCAAAGTGAATATGATTTTGACATATTATATGTGTAACGATCCAATCTGTTGTTTTGAGTTCTAGGACCATGTTTACTTATTTGAGGCCTCTCGTAGATTCATTTGATAATTTATGAGTTGCAAGCATGGTTGGTATGGATCTCAAGAGATTTGGACGCTTAGTTCCTAACTTGAAACCTTACGTTGAGAAGAGTTGACCAAAGTCAATATTTTGGGTAAACGAGCTTAGATTCATGATTTGAAGGTTCTAATAGGTTCGTATGATGATTTTGGACGTGTACGTGTATTCGGCTTAGCACCCGAGGCTCGGGTATGATTCAGATATATCTTGTGAAAGTTGAAATTTGAAGAACTGAAGAAAGTTCAAAAGTTTGGTTTGCACCTTGATTCTAATTGTGATATTTTCATATGTATTCGAATCCCTTGGACAATTTCGTATAAGATATATGGACTAGTCGGGAAAGTTTAGAGGAATCCCGAGGGTATCGATTAAGTTTTGAAGTATTTGGAAGTGGTATAGAAATGGAAAAATTGCAGAAATTTGCATCAAATGTAGAGGCTAAGGTGAACGCTCGCGTCCATCCTCTGTTGCAGGTCACAATGAGGAGTGAAGTCTGGACACTTCACGTTTAACATGGCATCCAACACTTGAAGCTGAAATTTTAACTGTTTGTTATAAACTCTATTTTGTACTTGGAATCGTGTAAGTGATTCTCACTCAAATATAAGTTATAACCTGAATCTATCATTAATTTTGCCTTAGAATTAAGGATCTAAAAGAGAAAAAAAGAGGATTTTAGACTTGAAAGTTAAGAAAGTGTATTTTAAGGTTTTGAACAACGATTTGGATTCAAAGTTGGAATGGATATATATACGGACTCACGAGGCTATAGATCAATGAGATCCGACTTTTGTTTCACAATTTAGCCATGTGGGCTTTAAGTTAATTTTTATTGACTTTTGAGATTTTGTTAAAGATAGAAGCATTATCGTTTGGAATTAATTTTTATAGCTTTGTTTGACTTACTTGAGTATTCTTTGGACTATAACGGACTTGTTTGATAGATTTTGAGCTAGAAAAGGCAAATTTGAAGAATGGAGCTAGTCGGAATAAAGGTAAGTATCTTGCTTAACCTCGACTTGAGAAATATTTTCCAAAAAACGAACTTATGTGCTACATGCTACGTGTTTGGGAGTGACGTACATATGAAGTGACAAGCGTATATGCGGATACCAAGGTTCTCCATGCTTGAGATAGTATTTAAGCTTCTTTATGCCTGATTTGATACATACTATACTTGCGATAAGCTTTATCTGCTTGTATGACTACTTGAGCTCTCATATTCACATTAGATATCGTATCTAGTCTTTTAATACCTTATTTGGACATGATGTGCTATTTATATGTTGGATATTGTAGCTATAGTCATATATTATGCACATTTATACACCCTTGTTTGTTTATTTCTCTAGTCCATATCCATCATACATATTTGTTTCTTGTGCATATATATATATATATATATATATATATATATATATATATATATATATATATATATATATATGTTCTCTTATATGGAGTGAGGTTATGACATGTGAGTTGTCCGTGTAGTTATTATGATTATGGCATGATGGTTTATGTCGTGTGGTTGATATGATTATGATACTATAATTATGTCGTGCGGTTGATATAATTATGGAGCTATAATGCTCGGGTGCGTGTATTGGGATCTATCCCTTCAGATTAACGTGATCACTCATTTTACCTTGGACGGTGTGTGCGCAGTATTATTGGACAATGAAAAGGTGTGGGAGGCGGCGTTAATTGATATAAATTTTGAGCCTTTATCATGCATAGACCTCCTAAGCTCATGTATATCATCTACATATGCAAATCTATGCATTTTATATATGCATATGACTAGCTAGCAGGTTGTCAGACACTCAGAGGGTGTTAGATTGATGTAAAGTTTAAGGTTTATAATGCGTAGACATTTTAGACTCATATAAGAGCATTCATATAGACATTATTTGAGCATAGATGTGAAATTTGAGTCTTTATCATGTACAGACACTCTAGACTCATGTAAAAGCATTTGAATTAATACTACCTGGTGGATATCTTCTTTACATGTGAATTTGATATATTTGTACATGCTTTTAATTTTGTTATTTTGAAAAGCATGCTTATTATCTTCTTATTTGATTGTGCACCTTATTATTGATATTTATTGTTTCTTGGCTCTTTCCCTATTATTTTATATGCTTATAAACTATACATATTATACAAAGTGAGTATATTTATACTAAAACCTTGTCACTAATTTGTTGAGGTAGGCTTGATACTTACTAAGTACATGGAGCCAATTGTACTCATACTATATCCTTTTTTACCTTGTGTAGGTTTTAGAGTTGAGTTGTTACGGAGTTCGAGAGCAAGTATTGAAGACATATTAGCATTCCGTTTATTAATTATTATTTTTTCATGGTTAATCACGCCCAACTCTAGTCCTAAAAAGGATAAGCGGTCGCTGCAAATATAATTCGGTCTAAGAGTCCGGAATCGAATCCCACAGAGAACTAAGATTTAGCTACAACTGTTTATTATTACTAAGAAGACAAGCCCGAGCAATTCCTAAGTCATAAATATTAAGACTCTTATATCTAATTAACTAATAAATTAAAGTAGTAGATTAACAACTAAGATACTAGGGGTTGGAGAAAAGATAAAGGAGGTCTAATGTTATGATTTTTTCACTTGGCGGAATCCTTCCTGCTATGTCTTCTATAATTTTACCTAAGTGTTTTCTATTGATCGTGAGTACTTTAGGTGTCGTAGCTCTCTCTCGAGCAACTACCAAAATTTACTAAACGTATTCTCTCGAACTACGATAGTTGGCACTAATTCAACGCTCACTACGATCGTACCAAGGTTTCGTTATCTCTAATCCCGCCTTTAAACCCTCTGTATTGATCTCTCACTTACGTTAGAAGTGATGTTGTTCAACAACTACCTAAATATGTACTCTCTCTCTCAAGCAATATACACACTAAATAGGCACAGTCAATCGATGAACATTCAATCAAAAATAATAAATACGTAGTTGAAAAAGCAGAGAAATCCAACGACTCAATTATATAAAAACGTCACAAGAATTTATCCTACAAAAGGTTCTATCAAAACCCTAGATAACAAATTAGCTATTCATAATAGTATGCAAAACTACAATACTAGAATTCATAACCAATAATGAAAATATGAAGAAGGACGTGCAAAACTCGTAGAAGAATTCTCCGCCTTGATCCTAGCGTGTTCTTACCTCCTTGGGTTGAATCCCCTCTCCAAAAACGTCTCCCTTTAGGTCGAATCTGCTCTAAAAATGTCCTCCCTTCTTAGACATGTTTAGGGAGTATTTACAGGCTAGGGTTGAAGTCCTTGAGTCCAAATCCGGGTCGGAGTCTTTTAATTCACGCACTTTTGATCACCGGGCTATAGACCTTGCGAGGCCAGGCTTATAGCGCGGTCAGCCTGGCTACAGAGGTGGCTACACCTGGCCTATAGTGCAGTCAAGCTGGCTATAGAGCTGGGTATGCTCGGCATGTGGCCAGGATTGGGTACTTCGTTCTTTTATGCTCTTTTCTCATATTGTTTTCCTCTTTTTTGTGCAACTTTCACTCGTCTTTATGTTCCGATGCTCCTACACATAAAAGAACATAATTCAGCTCAAACGTCATACAATTAACCACTAAACTAACATATGTGAGGCGAGTAATGTACTAAAAATATAGCATTTTGGCCACACATCACTACCCCACACTTAAACATTGTTCGCCCTCGAGTCAACCACCAATTCACACTAACCTTGAGCACTTTATGTTTTTTAGCACATCCGAAGCACACCATATCTTTGACTATGGTTGATAGCAATAAATAAACTTTAGCATATGCATTCAACACACACTTCCCTTTACTTTATGCCATAATTCAAAATTTTATTAAACAACTAGACAACATGCTTATAATAATCCTAACCTCACAAACCGACTCA